GCGAGACCGCAAGCGAGGCTGTAATGCTTGAGGACCTCGCGCTGCAGAAAGTTGTCCACGCCAAAGTCCTGCAGGTCGAGCGTCCGCCAAGACTGCTCTCGTGACTGGGCTATAGCGCCCTCACGGATCTCTGTCCACACGGCCCGCTCCACGCCCTTCGACTTGATGCCGCGGGCGAGAGCGTGCGGACAATACTCGTCCGGATCGACGCAGTCTGGCTCCGCCGGCAGGGCTGATAATGGCCTCGGGCGGGAGGACAGAGGGCTCGTGCGGGAGAACAGTGACGAGCTCGCGCGTGGCAACGAGGGTCGCAGCATGCACGCGCAACGTCGGGGAAACTCGGCGAAGGTTACGCCTGTGTGAATGAATCCCCAGGGCCTCCAGGGCTCGCACCTCAACCTCTCACAGGCCAGCGCACAGCGCCATAGGAGGTATTTTCTTCTCAATAACAAGGCTGTGAATAGTCTGTGCTGCTTCTGTTTTGGGGTCGTGTTTGTGTGTACCCAGAGGTTGTCGGGTGTAATAGACAAGTGCGCGCGTCCGCCCGACTCGCCCAACCAAAAGAACAGCGCCGCCTCCCCGCTGACGCCGTGCGTGCGGCTGTCTCGGTCTCTGTACATACGCATATGCTCCCACCCCCGGTCCCCCGCGCTCAGATACGCACCATCGAGGCGAGCGGCGCGGGCCTGAGCAGCTCCGCCGCCTCGAGCGAGGCGTGTCCGACCGCGCTGTCGATCTCGTCCACTATATCGCTCATCGTGTCGCCGCCGCCGCAACACTTGGAGCCGCAGCACTTGGAGCCGCCGCAGGAGCCGCTAACGGATGGGAAGACGCCGAGCATCGCCACCAGCTCGCGGTGCTGCTTGATGACCAGCTCGTGCAGTCGCAGGTCGGCGACGCCGAGGATGTCCTGCGCCTCCACCTGCGTGCCCACCGAGACCATCCCGCACTCGCTGCGCACCCGCTGCCGCCGCACCGTCTCGAGCGCCGCCTCCAGCCGCATCTCGGCGACGCGCAGGTCGCGCTTGCCCGCCTCGGACGACAGCATCGTAATCTCACGCACCCCCTTTGCTCGCTCGTTCAGCAGCGCCTCGAGGACTCCTCCCGTGTAGGCCTGCCCGTACGTCGCAGCGTCGACGCACATGTCAAACAGGCCGCCGCGGATCGGGCTGAAGATCTCGATCGTACCGCCCATCACGACGGCGCAGTTGCTGAGCGTGCCCCCCGCGGGGCGCGACACCTCGGTCGCCGGGATCTTCATCCCGAGCAGGTAGGGCTCCTGAGCGCCAGAAAGGGTGTGGGTGGGTGAAAGAGGGCGGGGCGGTGGGGTGGCGCCGCCTCGAGAGGCGTGGTCGGGGTGCGCACCTTCGTCGGGTCCTCGTTCACCTTCTTCGCCAGGTACAGCGTGATGCCGACCAGTTTCACGTACAGCGAGGAGAACGAGTCGGGCATCGTGAGCGCCGAGACCGCAGAGAGGAAGGCCGAGCCCATCAGCTTGACCTCGTAGATCCAGTACGAAGGCTTCAGGGAGCTGTCGACAGAACGCGTCATCGATGCGTACTTGGAGCGCAGTCGGCTGGTCGCTGAGAGGGGGAAGCGCATCGTCGTCGCCTCGATAAAGTCGGCAAAGCGCCGCCAGTACACGAAGTACGCGGGCGAGTAGATGACGGTCGCCTCGGTGCCCACGGTCAGGTCCATCACATCGGGCTCCGTCGGACTGCGTGAGCTAAAGACGCGCACCGCCAGCGCTGCAGGCCCACGCGGCGCGCCCCACACGCCGTGCGGCTTCTCCTCCCCCAGGACCGTCGCCGTCACCGCGCCGTCGCCCTTGCGCGACTTCCAAATGCTAGCGAGCCAGCCCTTCGCGGAACTCGCGGAGTTCACCTTCATTTGCCGAGAGGGACGCGGCGGGTCCTTCCCGCCTTGATGACTGAGACGAGGTATTTTCAAGAAACCAAAATGGCTGGCTGAAAAAAAAACATAGCTAAAACAAAATGGTTGGAGTGACCCGTGCCGCCGTGTGCCCCGCAGCGGCCTCGCTGGGCCAGGAGATCGGCCCGCGATGCCACCCCCGCAGCAGCCTCGTCGAGCCAGAAGATCGGCTCGCGAAGTATATGCTGTATGGCCCGATACGTAGTGCTCTTGAGAGCTTTCTTCTTGTTGTGCTCTTGCGCCTCGGCGGTTTATAGTGGTGCACTAACCCCGAGAAACCCTTCGGAGTCGCTCCTCGTCGCAAACCCTGTCAGTCAGCAGTCCACTTTCGGGTATGTTCGTAAGAGCCACAACACTGAAAAATGTACTCCTATGGGAATGAATGTTCCTAAGAGCTATCCTGTCTGATTGAAAATTTTGAAAGCTTTGAGTGCGATCTGCTACTCAACCTCCTTGGTTCTCGGATCTGCTACTCAAGGCGAGGAGCAGAGAAAAAAGAAAGTAACTGGCGCCGTTTTTGACCGCATCGGCGACGGGGGCTGCATCTTATCTCGACCCCCGACAGCCTTCTCTTCCCGACAGCCATGGTGAACGCCAGCGTCCTCGCTCTCATCAAGAAGGAGTACCCCGACACCTTCACCAAGATCAGCTCCATCGTCGGCCGCGAGGTTCTCGACTCGCGCGGCAACCCCACTGTGGAGGTGGACCTGACCACCGCGGGTGGCATCACCGTGCGTGCGATGGTGCCCTCTGGCGCCTCCACCGGCATCCACGAGGCGTGCGAGATGCGCGACGGCGACAAGTCGCGGTGCGGCACTAGTCATATCCGCCGTCTGCCTCTTCGCGCCGCGCCGCCGTGCTCGCCTTGCCACTCCGCCGCCGGCGTCCGGCGCCCTGAGCTCACCGCATCTCCCTCGGGCCAGGTACCTCGGCAAGGGCTGCACCAAGGCGGTCGGCCACATCAACAATGAGCTCCAGGCGATCGTCGGCATGTGCTGCCTCGACCAAAAGGCGATCGACGACAAGGCGAGCGCCCTCTCACCCTCGCCCGCCGCTCCCGCTCTCCGGACACCACGCGATCGCACACCGACCACACCTCGGCGGTACTCGCCTTGCGCGTCTTCCCGTCTCGGCCCGCTTACATACGCTACCACTCACCGCGTCTTCGCTTTGCAGATGTGCGAGATGGACACCGGCACCGTCGGCGACGGCTTCCGCAACAAGTCGAAGTTCGGCGCCAACGCAATCCTCGGCATCTCGATGGCGGCCGCCAAGGCGCGCAGCCTCCTCGCCCCAACTCTCCGCTCGCTCCGACCCACCGCACGCGGCCTTGTCGCCCGAGCAGGCGGGCGCAGAGTGCGAGGGCATCCCCCTGTACCAGTACTTTGCCAAGCTCGCGGGCAACGACAAGCTCGTGCTGCCGGTGCCGTGCTTCAACGTCATCAACGGCGGCTCGCACGCCGGCAACAAGCTCGCCTTCCAGGCACCGCCACAGACACCGTCACCTTCCGACGCCGCCTGCACCACCACCACCACCACCACACCTCGCTGTCGCCCTCGCAACCTTCGCCGACCTCACCACAAGCATCGCACTGTCGCTCTCACCGTCTCCTCGCTCTCGTCACGCGCCGCCACACACCGCCTCACGCCCGCCACCCAGCGCCCGCCCCTCCCCCAAGATACGATCGCTGGCCACAGGAGCACTTCCCTGCCTTCCAGATACCATGGAATCTTCCTCTGAACCTTCCTCTGCACCTTCTCTGCACCTTCTGTGCACCTTCTCTGCACCTTCTCTGCACCTTCTCTGCACCTTCTCTGCACCTTCCTGCAGGAGTACTTCATCATCCCGGTCGGCGCCTCCTCCTTCAAGGAGGCGATGCGGATCGGCTGCGAGTGCTACCACGCGCTCAAGGGCATCATCAAGAAGAAGTTTGGCGGCGACGCGACCTCGGTCGGCGACGAGGGCGGCTTCGCGCCCCCCTGTGAGCCGATATAGAAGCCAACACTTCCCGGGCACCGGACCAGCTGTCTTGGCGCCGCTCCCCTCTCCACCTCTGGAGCCGACCCCGCCGGAAGCGGTTGAGCGGCGGCTGGCTCACTCCCGGCCCCTTCTCCTCCCGCAGGCGACGCCAAGGAGGGCTGCGAGCTCATCATGGAGGCGATTGCAAAGGCGGGCTACACGGGCAAGTGCAAGATCGGGCTCGACGTGGCGGCGGCGGAGTTTATGGTGCCGGGCACGGGCGAGGGGACGGGCAAGGAGTCGATGTACGACCTGGCGACGTGGTACCCGGACAACGACCCGATGAAGGAGAAGCTCAAGATGACTATCCCCGAGCTCGCCGCCTTCTACAAGGACCTGAAGGCGACCTTCCCCGACATCGAGACGATCGAGGACCCGTTCGACCAGGACGACTGGAAGGGGTGGAGCACGATGACGGCCGAGATGACGGACTGCCAGATCGTGGGCGACGACCTGACCGTGACCAACGTGCGCCGCATCAAGACCGCCATCGCGGAGAAGGCGTGCACCGCGCTGCTGCTCAAGGTGAACCAGATCGGCACGATCACCGAGTCGATCAACGCCGTCAAGCTCTGCAAGTCCAAGGGCTGGGGCATCATGTGCTCGCACCGCTCGGGCGAGACGGAGGACACCACCATCGCCGACCTCGCCGTCGGTCTCTGCACCGGCCAGATCAAGACGGGCGCTCCGTGCCGCTCGGACCGCCTCGCAAAGTACAACCAGCTGATGCGGATCGAGGAGGAGATTGGTGCGGGCGCGGTGTACGCGGGCGCAACCTGGAAGAAGCCGGCGTGGATGGCGCCCGGCTTCACCCTCGAGAACTAGACGCGCAGTCTCCGCCGCCCCGCCGAGGCCAAGCTCGCGCGCCACGGCCAGCGCGGGCGGGGGATTCTGAGTGCCGAGGCTGACTCCAAAAGAGCGCACTCTGTACTGACTACTGTGTGCCGATTTGGCATTTGCCGTCCGCATGTGGAGTGTCCTCCTTTTATTCTATATGTTTATTGTGCCATATGCACAAAACCGCTTCCCCTCGACTTTTCCATGCACTTCACGCACCGCCCACACCCCTTGCCAGCCCCGCGACGAGGCGCTCCACTAGCCCGACGGCGACGCCCTTGTGATGCAAGACGGAGCCCGACGGCGGCCGGTGGTCGTGCCCCTGGCCGTCGTCGAGCATGAAGTAGATGTCGATGCCCTTGGGCATGAGCAGGGGCAGCGGCAGCTCGTCCAGCGACAGAGCGGGCCGCGCGGAGAGGGCGCTCTGCCGTGCGACGCCGCGAAGGCTCGGCTCGGCCGGCTGCAGCAGCTGCGAGATGACAACCACCGCCTCGGTGGGGGCGGGCCGGCTTGTGAGCAGCTGCAGGGCCGGCGCGGGCGAGCGCATCTGCCGCTGCACGGCGCGCAGCAGCGGGACGAAGCCGCCCCTCGCCTCCTCCGCCGAAAAGGAGAAGACGCGCAGCGAGGAGCCGTTGCACATGCGCCGGTCCATGATCTCGCGCTGCGTCCAGCACAGGCTGATCGGGCGGGGCTCGCCGCTCACGCAGGCCGCGGCTAGCAGCGCCGCAGCCACCTGAAACGCGTTCCCCCCGAGCGCGCGGCCCCGCTCCATCGCCGCCGCCCACTCCCGAGCGCCCCCGAGCGTCCACGGCCGGCAGCAGGCGTCCCTCCTCCCGCCGCTCCGGTCGATGGGCGGGAGCTGCGGCGCCGCCGCCAGCAGGCGCGAGAGGTCGACCGCGATGGGGCGCGCCACGCCAGTCGCCTCCACCTCCCTCTCGAGCGTGAAGACTGGGCGCGGCAGCGCGGGGCACGCGGCGCGCAGCGAGTGCGTGTACGCGGCCAGCAGCTGCTGCGTGACTTGGTGCGTGGAGTAGAGGTCGAGGATCGCATGGTGTGCCACCAGCGCCAGCAGCCAGTGGTCCGGCGCCTTGACGCACGCGAGCACGCGCAAGAGCGGGCCGCGCTCGAAGTTCAGCCGCCGGTGGAGGTTGTCTGGCGACAGCGCCCGCGCGAGCTTCTCGCTCGAGCCGATGCAGCGCACCACTTGCAGTGGCACGACGAGGTGGCTGTGCGCGACGCCGCGCAGCCCGCGGTCGGGCAGGGTGGTGCGGAGGGCCGGCGAGCGGAGCACGACGTCGTCGAGCGCGGCCTGCAGCAGCAGCGGGTTGAGCGGCCCCTGCACCTCGTAGTAGATGCTCAGATGCGAGACGCCGGCCGAGGCGCTGCTGCTCGCTCGCGGCGCCTCGTCGCCGCGGAAGTGGACCAGGGACCAGGAGCTCGCGGCGTGCGCCTCCTGCTCGACGCCC